TCGACCAGACCTGGTTGCAAGAGTGTACAAAGCAAAGAAGCGAGATTTGACGGACTTACTCATCAAGAAGAAGCATTTTGGCGAGGTTGCGACCTATGCTCATGTGCTCGAGTTTCAGAAAAGAGCGCTCCCACACAAACATATCCTTCTAATCATGAAGGTAGGTAGCAAGTTAAAGACTCCAGATGACCATGACAGAGTCATATCAGCAAAAATACATGATAAAGATAAATACCTTGGCCTGCATGCTCTGGTCATAAAACACATGTTGCACGGGCCATGTGGTGTCCTCAATAAAAAATGTTCTTGCATGATTGATGAGCAGTGTCGTTTTCACTACCCTCGGGAGTTTTGCCCCGCTACACAGTAGGGAAAGGACTCATATCCCATATATAGGAGGAGGGATGATGGACGTCGAGTAAAAGTGAGAGGAGCAGAGTTGGACAATAGGTGGGTGGTGCCTTACAACCCCTTTCTTCTCATTAAGTACAACTGCCACATCAATGTAGAAGCTTGCTCGAGCATCTAGGTAGTGAAGTATTTGTTCAAGTACATTTACAAGGGACATGAACGAACATCATTTTCATTCGAGTAGGACATCATCAACAATGGGGGGTCATTAATGAGATCCGCCAATACTGAGATGCACGATATGTATCACCTCCAGAGGCTATCAACATGCTTTTACGCTTTAAAATGTTTGGAATTAGTCCTTCAGTCTTGTAGTTGCAACTTCATTTGCCAGGCATGCACATGGTCGCATTTAAAGCCAATGATAATCTGAAAGATGTTGTTGATAAGCCATCTTCTTCGAGAACCATGCTTACTGAGTACTTCAAAATGAATGGAATGAATCCTTATGCACGACAATGGCTGTACAGAGATTTTCCGGAACACTTAGGATGGGATGCATCAAAGAAGAGATGGTATAAAAGAAAACAAAGGCCACAGATTGGTAGAACTGTGTATGCACACCCTGCTGATGAGGAGAGGTACTATTTGCGGGTGCTCTTGAATCATGTCCGAGGTGCGACATCATATGATGATTTAAAAAAGGTGTGAGGCATTACGTGCTCTACTTTCAGAGATGCGTGTGAACAATTAGGATTAATTGAGCACGACAAATCACTTGATCACTGCCTGACTGAAGCTGCCACATTTGAGATGCCTTGTGCTCTTAGATGCTTGTTTGCCACTATCTTAGTATTTTGTGAGGTTACAAAAATCCGAGAGTTGTGGGACAAACACCTAGAGTACCGATGTTCCCAGCCCAACGAGACAATACTTGAGCAGATGGTCCTTAGAGACATTAGGGATTTGTTGCATTCCATGGGGAAGGATATTAAAACGTATGGCCTTTTTTCACAGAAAACCTATGGCCTTCCAGAGCTGGTTAATACAAATGCTTTTCTAGGCGATGAGTGCATGGAGGTTAGAGAGGAGAGGGAGGTCGGTGTGGACCAAGAACATATTGATCTTATCAACTCTTTAAACAGTGAGAAACTAGCTGGGTTCAATGACATCATGGACCATATCATGAACAAAAAAACCAAGTCTTCTTTCTCGATGCTCCAGGAGGCACTGGGAAGACATACTTGTTCAAGGCATTGCTTGCTAAGGTGCGTTCGATGGGTGAGATAGCCATTGCCACTGCTACATCAAGTATAGCAGCCTCGATATTACCTGGAGGGCGTACTGCCCACTCTAGGTTCAGAATACCCATTAAACTCACTGACAACAACATGTGTGGTCTCACAAAGCAAAGTGGTACGACAGAATTACTGAAAGAGGTGGCCTTGATAATTTGGGATGAAGTTGCCATGACAAAGCATCAAGCCATGGAGGCGTTTGATAGGTCACTCCAAGACATAACGGGATGTGCTTTGCCGTTGGGGGGGGGGTATTGTCAGTTTTGGTGGAGATTTTAGGCAAGTCCTTCCAGTGGTTCCAAAAGGGACAAGAGCACATATCACAGATGCTACAATATAGAGATCCTATATATGGCAGAAGATTCATAAGATACACCTTACACGTAACATGAGATCACAAGCTGACCCTTTGTTCTCTGAGTATCTCTTAAGGATTGGCAACGGAACCGAAGAAATGATAGGTGATGACTATGTGCGTCTCCCTGAGGACATTGCGATCGGTCATACTGATGATGAAACCGCAATCAATAGACTAATCAGAGAAGTTTTCCCCTCTCTTAGTGCCAATGCTAAATCAAGAGAGTACATGAGCTCGCATGCTATTCTTTCCATGAAGAATGACTATGTTGATGATATGAATTCCAAGATGATTGACATGTTTCCTGGCCAAGAGAAGCTATTCCATAGCTTCGACTCTATTGAGGATGACTACTCGAACAATTACCCGATTGACTTTATGAATTCGCTCACCGCAAATGGATTGCCACCACATGTGTTGAAAGTGAAAGGCAATTGCCTCATCATTCTGCTACGGAACCTCGAACCTCACAATGGCCTCTGCAATGGAACAAGGCTAATGATTAGAGCCTTGCAAGATAATGCAATTGATGCAGAGATTGTTGGTGGGCAACATGTTGGGAAGAAGTCTTTATACCGAGGATCCCTTTGTCACCATCGGAGGACATCTTGCTTTCCTTCAAGCTTAAGAGGAAATAATTCCCCATCCGCCTAAGTATTGCGATGACCATTAACAAGGCGCAGGGCCAGACCATCCCAAATGTTGGCATTTATCTTCCCGAGCCGGTGTTCTCCCATGGTCAGCTGTATGTTGCCTTGTCAAGGGGTGTATCAAGGCGCACGATGCGAATTTTGGCCAAGCCGAACAAACAGATTGATAAATCAGGAAAAAGCACCGAGAATATTGTCTATAGAGATGTTTTATAGGGATGATGTAGGTTCGTTCTTCTTTGACTGATATTTATTCAAGCTATTTTGTAGTCAACCAAACTTTGTTAGCTTTTTTTATTTTTTATTTGAATCATCATTTTATTTAAATACATATGGGCATGCCAACAATTTCTGAATCATCATTTTATTTAAATACGAAATGTGTTTACAAGTCTGAAATGGTTTCATGTTGTGAATTATGAAGTAGTTACCTATCGCTTATGGAGATATGTCATTTATGGAGATATGTCATTCCTAACTACTGATTAGCCACATACATGACTTTCCTAACTTGCTACTGATATTAATCAATTTATATTCCAAAAATAATTTGTGGGGTCAGGTATGTCTTTCACTCCCAAATAATATCAATGTTTACCTAAGAAATAAATATGGATTCTATAGTTAATGGCTTGGTAGAACTCTTGCTAAATTACATATAAACTGCAATCTGATCCAACTTTACATAATGCAGATATGAAAGGGAAAATCCATATTGATGTGATATGGGATTCACACTGATGTTTCATGACCTTTGGTCCCTGTAATACTGGAAGCAATCCAATCGCTTGTTCAAGTGTCAAATAAGAAGATGTGCATGTTTCCAACACTTATCTTCAGGAGTGAAATTGTTTTGCCACTGAAAATGAGCATGTGTCATCTGTCTTCCCTGTCATGTAAAAAACATGTTTATTTTCCTTAAATTAGAGTGAAAACAGGGTAGACTGTTGGTTAATGTGATATTTTATTTTTGTCAGATGGCTTGAAATTTCTTTAACATCACTTTTAATGTTAATGTCATGTACCATCATATTTATTTCCAAACTGTGGTGTGAGGTTATATTGCTAGTTTATGTCATGTTCGGTTCACAAATATATATTGTCAGTCCGTGCCTTTAAGCTTTGTTGGTAGATTGTGTCATTTACAGTGCATAAAATCTTTTTCTACTTTTAGTGTAAAATTGACTTGTACACAGTTTGACATTTTCAGACATTGTGATTACATGTGTTTGCTTTCGCTATATTTACTATAGATAGTGTTCTGACAGATTTTATAAAGTATGTCAATAGTTGGATCATGTATCCTTGACTTGATAGACAAGTTTAAAGATTTACATTCTTAAGAGTGCATAACCGACACGCTAGATCCTAACTTCGACTGCTTGCATAACCAACATTCAGTTCAAGGAAGCTTCAGGTCTTACCTTGAAAATTTCTTTTACCTCTTCCAACCAGCACATACATGTTTTCCAATTATTGATTATTGATTTTACACAAAAATAGTTTTTAATAATCTTTTCTACAATAGGCCAACATAATCAAAGGAGTCACTAAAAGTAGCTTGAAAATACCAAGGAAACCTGCAGGCATGGCCGCTGCAATAACCAATCCTCCTCCCTCGACACTTATGCCACCGTTCCCCTTCCTACGATCCAATTTTCTCTCTATTTCATAACTCTATGATACGTGAATAGAGAACGAAGAGGTATGGATGCATACGGTAGTCCCTTGACCACAAAAACGTTCGTGCTTGGCCACACGGGGAGCGAACGCCTCTGGATACCAATGTCACGTCATCCGGTCCGGTGTGCCAAGATCTGTGCTTGTCACCGGACGGCAGTCACCATATTCAGGCCGCACGTCAAAAAGAGTGATGTCAGACATGTTGTCAGATATGTGTCATTTGGGTCCCTTTCTTTTTGGAGGTACGAGGGAGTTCTAGGAGACATGCTGGACTTGTTCCAACGTACCGGAGTAGTAGTGACAAGTGACAAATTTGCCTTCACTTGTGTGTCCTCGGTACCATCGTTGCTAGCTAAGCTAGCCAAGCCTCGACAAGCAAACATTCGTCGCCCTCATGCTCACGCCTCCGTCATCATCATCAACATAATAACGGACAAACACTATAGTGGTATAACTGAAAATCTTGTAGTGACCTCGTCAATCTCGTCACCTCGCCGTCTCGACCATGCCGGCGCCGGCCAGGATGGCTGCAGGCGTTCGTCGCATTCAAAACCCGACCTTCTTTTTAAGACATGGGGCTAACAGAACCAGCGACAGCCCCAGACGTCGCCAAAGGCATCAGTATCGAACTATCTCTCTTGCCAGTACGGGCAGCAGGGGATGGTTTACCAGGGAGCACCAAACGGCCGGGCAAACGGCACCGGGGCCGGGCATGACGACGTCGGGAGCGCCGCTAAGGCGCACTTCGTCTTCGTCCCGCTCATGTTCCAGGGCCACGTGATCCCGGCGGTGGACACCGCTCTGCTGCTGGCCACGCACGGCGCGCTCGCCAGCGTCGTCGCGACGCCGTCCAACGCCGCGCGCATCCGCCCCACGGTCGACCTCGCGCGGCGGTCCGGCCTGCCCATCCGGCTCGTGGAGCTCCCGCTCGACTGCGCCGCCGAGGGCCTGCCCGAGGGAGCCGACGACGTCGACAAGATCCCGCTTGGCCTCGAGGTGAACTACTTCCGCGCCCTGACGCTCCTCGCGGAGCCGCTCGAGCGCCACCTCCGCGCGCACCCGCCGTACCCGACGTGCATCGTCTCCGACTTCTGCCACGCGTGGACCGTGCAAGTCGCGGCCAGTCTCAAGGTCCCGCGGCTCTGCTTCTTCAGCATGTGCGCCTTCTGCGTCCTGTGCCAGCACAACGTCGAGAGGTACAACTCCTACGACGCCGTGGCCGACGACAACGAGCCGGTGGTCGTACCGGGCCTGGAGAGGCGAATCGAGGTGACCAGGGCGCAAGCCCCCGGGTTCTTCCGGGCGCCCGGGTTCGAGAAGCTAGCCGATGAAATCGAGTTGGCGCTAGCTGAGTCCGATGGCGTCGTCATGAACTCCTTCCTGGAGATGGAGCCGGAGTACGTCGCTGGGTACGCGGCCGCCAGGAACTTGAAGCTGTGGACCATCGGGCCGGTGTCGCTGTACCACCAGCACGCCGCCACGCTAGCAAAGAGAGGGAACACCACCACCGCCATTGACGCCGACGAGTGCCTCCGATGGCTCCAGGGCAAGGAGCCCAGCACCGTCGTGTACGTCAGCTTCGGGAGCATCGTGCACGCCGACCCGAAGCAGACCGTCGAGCTCGGGCTCGGGCTCGAGGCGTCGGGGCACCCGTTCGTCTGGGTTCTGAAGAACCCCGACCAATACAGCGAGGACGTGCGCGAGTTCCTGCAGGACCTCGAGGAGCGCGTCGCCGGCCGCGGGATGCTGATCAGAGGGTGGTCGCCACAGGTGCTTATCCTGAACCACGTGGCGGTGGGTGGCTTCGTGACGCACTGCGGGTGGAACTCGACATTGGAGGCGATCACGGCCGGGCTGCCAGTGGTGACATGGCCGCACTTCTCGGACCAGTTCTTGAACGAGAAGCTGGCCGTGGAGGTGCTGGGAATAGGCGTGAGCGTCGGTATTAAGGAGCCATTGCTGTGGGCGGCGAAGAAGGGGGTCGTGGTGGGTAGAGAGGTGGTGGAGGCGGCGGTCAGGAACATCATGGACGGAGGAGGAGAGGGGGGCGAGAGGAGGAGGAAGGCGCTGGCGCTCTCGGAGAAGGCGAGGGCGGCCGTGCAGAAGGGCGGGTCGTCGCTTGGTAACCTGCTAGATCTTATCAAGAATTTCGAGGTGGACGCGGGAGGTTGCACAACTGAATGAATGAGTGTCATGACAGTCTCAGAGAGCACTGCGCCAGAGTGCGCAGTTTCAAAAGAATTTTCTTTTTGCGGGTGCAGTTTCAGAAGATTATTGGGCAATCAAACCTTCCCTGATCCCCTTTCTTTCCTCTTTGTTTCTAAAAATAAAGAGTATTTTGATCATATAAAATGATCAAATTCCCTTTGCAGGGGCGTGCTACACATTGGTGGCAGATCTTTTTAGAACATCTGTCGCCTAGCGAGCCGTCCAGTTCGATGATGCGACCAGACACGTATCGTTCCTTTGTTTCTCTTGTTTCGTGCAACAAAACCATTGTTGCGAAGGGAAAGTAGTAGCTGCACCCACCTTCGGTGCACCCACGAAGTTTCAGAAGATTTATTTTTTGCGGGTGCAGTTTGAGAAGATTATTGGGCAACGAAACATTTTCCCGATCTTTTTTAGGCGATGCTACGCGTCGGCCGGCGGATCATTAAAAAAGATCTGCCAACTCACTGATCATTGGATGTACAAGTTAAGATCTGTCTGATCTACCGCGTAAGCACCCACCTCTTTGCAATAAGAGTGTTGTCGTAGAAGACCCTCTACAACAATCAGCTTGTTGCAATCACCCGAGCATGTACTTTGTTATTTTTTGCAACAAAGGTCTTATCGTAGAATTTTTTCCGCAACAAATGTCTTGTTACAGAAATTTTTATTTTATTTTTTCGCAACAGAGGTCTTGTTGAAGAAATTATTCGCAACAAATTTCTTATTGCAGATTTTTTTTTCCGCAACAGAAGTCTTGTTTGCAGAAATTTTAAATATGGATTGCAGAAATCCTTTTGCAACAAGGGTCATGTTGCAGAAAAAATTACAACTGAGTTTATATTGCAGAACTTTTCTTTGCAAATAGAGACCGTGACATGTAGGAGATGGTGCTGACAGCAGGAGCTTGAGGTGACGGTGTCCATGGCTGGCCATGGCCAAGGCGGGCGTTGTTGCAGGAGCTTGAGGTGGTCGCGGGAACGGCCAAGGCGGGTGTTGTTGCAGGAGCTTGAGGTGGTCGCGGGCACGACCAAGGCGGGCGTTGCTGCAGGAGCTTGAGATGGTGGCTGACATGGCAGGCGTTGCTGAAGGAGATGGTGGTGGCTGAGGTGGGCGTTGTAGCGTATGGGACACAGGTTGAGGAAGAGATAAGATGAGAAAGAGAAGCGTGGGTAGTCTAGTAGACATGTGGCACGCAACCAAGAAGGCGGACGCGAGCGTGAGAATCCGCCGGTTGATGTTAATCATTTCCCATCTTTTTTTTCGCTCTTTGTTCCTAACAAGAAGGAGCATAATTTGATCATATAAAAAGATCAGATTCTGGGACGTCTGGATCTTTTTGGCTAGCGAGCTGTCCGATTCGATGATGCGTCCACTCCCGTATCGTTCCTTCTCTTCTCTAGTTTCCTACAAAAAAACCATTGTTACAAAATGTCGTCTTTTTTAATTTTCTACAACAAGACTCATGTTGCAAGATCTCTTCTCTAATTTTTACAACAAAACCTTTATTGAAAAATTGCAACAACATCTCCCGCCGCCGCATCTAATTTTCTACAACAAGACCCTTGTTGCAAAAATTAAAACATCATCTCCGGCCGCGTGTCATTCTTGCACAGTCGTCGCTGCCACCGTTTTGCAACAACGCCATTGTTGCAGAAATATGTCACAGAGGTGATGTTGTAAACAATGACGCAGGGCCGAGCGCTAGTAGTGGATGCGGATGTATGCTCGTGGTGTTGTGGTTGTTGCAGCGTTGGGTTACAAGACAACGGCGAGGTTGGCGCTCCGCATTTGGTAAAAATCATATCCGCAAGATAGTATAATTTTGATCATAGAAAACAAGGTAAGGTTCCTAACATTAAACATATTGCAGTGAGCACCCGAAACATTTTTATTTTCTTACAAACAAGGACAAAATTTCAACAAGTTGGGAGAATCTTCACTAGAAATTTTGGCAGCATAACAGGTGGTGAGGGATGCACACTTATATAAAAATTCCAAACAACTACACTTGACAAAGATTCAAAATCCAGGAGGGATGATAAACAACAAACAAACACTTGCATCAAGAAAGCTGGCTTTTCACCACTATTCCAAAAACACCACCACAATCCAACTAAACTCATGAATCTAATGGCTACATCATCGGCCGACGATGCCATCAATCATAACATGCCCCACCTATTCTTCAGCAAGGAACATCTTCTTGAGTATGGATTCATTGACGCACCACTCCTACATAAGACAACACTTGTTGTCGGAGGGATTGACCACGAGTAGCCTCATCAATACCCTATAATATTTCAGGACATCGGCGCTAGCTGCTGAAGGAAATATGCCCTAGAGGCAATAATAAAGTTGTTATTTATATTTCCTTATATCATGATAAATGTTTATTACTCATGATAGAATTGTATTAACCAGAAAGCTTAGTACATGTGTGAATACATAGACAAACAGAGTGTCACTAGTATGCCTCTACTTGACTAGCTCGTTAATAAAAGATGGTTAAGTTTCCTAGCCATAGACATGAGTTGTCATTTGATGAACGGGATCGCATCATTAGAGAATGATGTGATTGACATGACCCATACGTTAGCTTAGCACTATGATCGTTTAGTTTATTGCTATTGCTTTCTTCATGACTTATACATGTTCCTATGACTATGATATTATGCAACTCCCGAATACCAGAGGAACACTCAGTGTGCTATCAAACGTCACAACGTAACTGGGTGACTATAAAGATGCTCTACAGGTGTCTCCAATGGTGTTTGTTGAGTTGGCATAGATCGAGATTAGGATTTGTCACTCCGATTGTCAGAGAGGTATCTCTGGGCCCTCTCGGTAATGCACATCACTATAAGCCTTGCAAGCAATGTGACTAATGAGTTAGTTACAGGATGTTGCATTACGGAACGAGTAAAGAGACTCGCCGATAACGAGATTGAACTAGGTATTGAGATACTGACGATCGAATCTCGGGCAAGTAACATACCGATGACAAAGGGAACAGCGTATGTTGTTATGCGGTTTGACCGATAAAGATCTTCGTAGAATATGTAGGAACCAATATGAGCATCCAGGTTCCGCTATTGGTTATTGACGGGAAGTGAGTCTCGGTCATGTCTACATAGTTCTCGAACCCGTAGGGTCCGCACGCTTAATGTTCGATGGCGATCGGTATTATGAGTTTATGTGTTTTGATGTACTGAAGGTAGTTCAGAGTCCCGGATGTGATCACGGACATGACGAGGAGTCTCAAAATGGTCGAGACATAAAGATCGATATATTGGAAGGCTATGTTTGGATATTGGAATGGTTCCAGATGAGTTTGGCCGTTTACCGGAGTACCGGGGGGTTACCAGAACCCCCCGGGGAGTTAATCGGCCTTAATGGGCCCTAGTGGAGAAAGAGGGCAGCAGGCAAGTGGTGGGGTGCGCCCCTTAGGCCCAAATCGAATTGGTTTAGGGTTTGGGGGGCCGGCCCCCCCTTTCCTTCTCCTCTCCTCCTCCTTCCTCCTTCTCCTGTAGGAATAGGAAAGGGGGGGGGGGCAAACCTACTTGGTAGGATTGCCCCCCTTGGGCGCGCCTCCACCTAGGCCGGCCCTCTCCTCCTCCCCCCTTTATATACGCGGGAGGGGGTCACCCCATAGACACACAAGTTGATTATTTAGCCGTGTGCGGTGCCCCCCTCCACAAAATTCCACCTCGGTCATATCGTTGTAGTGCTTAGACGAAGCGCTGCGTCGGTAACTTCATCATCACCGTCATCACATGGTCGTGCTGACGAAACTCTCCCTCGGCCTCAGCTGGATCAAGAGTACGAGGGACGCCACCGAGCTGAACGTGTGCAGATCGTGGAGGTGCCATGCGTTCGGTACTTGATCGGTTGGATCACGAATTCGACTACATCAACCGCGTTACTCAACGCTTCCGCTTTCGGTCTATGAGGGTACATAGACATACTCTCCCCCTCTCGTTGCTATGCATCTCCTAGATAGATCTTGCGTGATCATAGGATTTTTTTTGAAATACTATGTTCCCCAACAGTGGCATCCGAGCCAGGTCTATGCGTAGATGTTATATGCACGAGTAGAACACAAAGGAGTTGTAGGCGTGGGTATATACATATTGCTTGTCGTCACTAATTGATTTTTGATTCAGCGGTATTGTTGGATGAAGCTGCTCAGACCGACATTACACGTACGCTTACGCGAGACTGCTTCTACCGACATGCTTCGCACACAGGTGGCTACTGGGTGCATGTTTCTCCATCTTTAGTTGAATCGGATTCAATGAACAGGGTTCTTTCTGAAGATCAAAAAGCAATCACTATATCGCGTTGCGGTTTTTCATGCGTAGGTAAGAACGGTTCTTGTTAAGCCTGTAGTAGCCACGTAAAACTTGCAACAACAAAGTAGAGGACGTCTAACTTGTTTTTGCAGGGCATGTTCTGATATGATATGGTCAAGACGTGATTATATAAATTGTTGTATGAGATGATCATGTTTTCTAACACAGGTATCGGCAACTGGCAGGAGCCATATGGTTGTCGCTTTATTGTATGAAATGCAATTGCCATGTAATTGCTTTACTTTATCACTAAGCGGTAGCGGTAGTTGTAGAAGCAATAGTTGGCGAGACGACAACGATGCTACGATAGAGATCAAGGTGTCAAGCCAGTGACGATGGTGATCATGACAGTGCTTTGGAGATGGAGATCAAAGGCACAAGATGATGATGGCCATATCATATCACTTATATTGATTGCATGTGATGTTTATCTTTTATGCATCTTATTTTTCTTAGTATGACGATAGCATTATAAGACGATCTCTCACTAAATTTCAAGGTACAAGTGTTCTCCCTGAGTATGCACCATTGCTACAGTTCGTCGTGCCGAGACACCACGTGATGATCGGGTTTGATAAGCTCTACGTTCACATACAATGGGTGCAAGCCAGTTTTGCACAC